TACACCAAACAATAAAACAATTAATCACCACACATTACATTACATTACATTACATTACATTACATTACATTACATGTATGCTACCTACCTTTGCAGTGATCCTGAAGCAGTGTTTAATTTATTAAGAAAAACCCTTGAATCCTGTAAGAATAGACATTAGTACTACGCCCCCCCCTCTCTCCCTCTTACTGTTTCAAACTCTGGCTGCCTTATGTTCATGAAATCTTTTGACAGTTTATAGGCCCCAAACAGCTTCAGTGCAACATCAGTTCTTCGATCATTGTCCGTTAGTCTAAAAAACATCTCCAACAAATTCTGTTGATACTCAAAATCTGAGAGAGAGAGAGAGAGAGAGGGGGGGAGAGAGAGGGAGAGAGAGAGATGAGGATAAAAATTAAGTACATGATAACTCCATGCAATAGCGTATTAACATACAGTACATGTACATGTACATAATAATATGAATATGACTTACCTCCTACTAGTGGCAGTCTCTCACCAATCATAATACTACAGTACAACAAAAAAGTATAGATATTAGATATGAAACACACTACATGTAGATGTATACATAAAAATCAAGTCAAAATTTCTAAAAAAAATTAATACTATTCCATGTACTGGCTAGTCCATTTTGTTAAATTTAAGAGCAGCTAAACTGCCACAGGCAATACAAGCTGATTCATCAGTGGCTAACTCACACGTCTTTATAGACATCCTGACTGCTTAGTACCAGTGACCTCTTCACTAGTGAACAATTGGACAATAAATGATTCAATAATCTACTGATCTACAGGGAAAAAAACAAAAAATAGGAAATAGTAGCGTGAGGCATTTATTTAAGAATAACTGGATTACATAATAAATATAAAACACTTACCTCAACGACAGTGCTGATATATTGACTGTTCAGTTTATAACTAATAATAACCAGTGAGTGGATGAGTGAAGGGATTAAGAGACATATGCTAGTGAAAGCAGACTCAGAATAGCTGGATATATCCTATTGAATGAAGCAACGATTAATCAGGTACTTTTATAATATATATATACATACATGTATGTACATGTACATGTACATTAGTATTGACAAAATTGAAAAGGAGAGAATCTCCATTTTTATAACTTTATCTGATACATATACATGTTCTTATGTTGTGTACAAAGTTTGAGCTGATTCCAATCAAGTTTGGATTTTTTTACAAATTTTTAAAGTTGCTCCAAAATGAGGTCAAAGTCCCTGTACTATAGTACAGGGTTATGGGCCAAATTTCACTAAAATTGAAAAGAAGATAATTCTCCATTTTTATAATTATTTCTGATACACATAGCTGTGACATGCTCCATTAATAATAATTAAATGTACATGTACATATACATGTACATGTACATGTACCTCAATGACGCTAACAAATGACTCCATTGCTTTATTCCAGTCAAAAGTGAGGGCACTATCAGCTAATAGTAACAACTGATCCAGACACACTGACATGTATAATAATATAAATAAATATAAAGGATAATTTATACAATAGTACAAGTGTACAGGTACATGTATGTACAGTGTAGCCTCTATATAGTGTATCTGTTATACAGAGGTGTCCTTTATGTGGAGGTTATTTCATACAGTAAGGAATGTAATTGGTACACTAGGTGCTGTCCGTTTTAAAAATGGAGGTGTATGCTATAGAGAGTGTCCATTAAGAGAGGCTATACTGTACATTAATATTACAGTATGTAACAGTACATGTACATGTACATGTATATACTTATCATTTTCGATAGGCCAAAGGTGATGAATTTCCTGAAGTTGCTAACAGAAGGAGATCCCAATTGTCTCAGTGCTTCCATTAACAATACAAAATCAGTCAAAGAACCACTTTTAAGAGACTAAAGGAGAGAGACAAGAGTGTATTCTCAATAGTCATTATACATGTAAACTCAATATATACATGTACATGTACTTTAAAACTTTCGTCAGTCAAAAATTGTCAGCAAAATATTTCTTTCTACATGTAGTTTTCCAATTAATATTTTCCATCTAAAATTTTCTCATTCCGTTCACCTTTAAAACACTTGATTTCAAAACTTCATAAAATTTCTTTGTACACTTGGAGGAAGAAATATCAGAGTCAGGGGGGCCCCCTGGAGCCCCAGTAGATTCAAGATACTTCCTGAGTTCGTCCATTTTGACTCCTCCAGTTCTTGACAAGATATCCTCCAACTAGACGTCATAAAATAGAGTTATTATCATCAGATAAAGCTTACTGAAGACATGGTCCTCTGCCTAATTGAACACCACCTGTTAACACGTTGACCCCAGCGCCACTAATTAATTATTCATTGAAGTCACGTGATTACAGCGATAAAATTATTTCGATTATGCGCGTAATCAAAAATTCGAAAAATCACTTGAATCATAGATCTATGCTTGAATTGATTTATTATTTTTAATTAGAATTATTAATTTAGTGTTAAATTATTATTATTGTCATTATTAAGTCACAGCTCTTTTTTCTTCAAGTTCCTGGATCCTACTCTTCCAGCAGCCCTTTGCACTACTTGCAAGGTCCTGTTGGATAATACTTGATTGACTTGATTCCAGGTTGAGTACAGCAGCCATCAACTATCTATAGGACACTAATTATAATTAATTTATTAGAATATGAGCTTATGTACAGTGGCAGATTTATTATAATCGTTGCAGTTTTCATCAGAGTAGCAAAGGAGGCCAGCAGAGACTGTAGTAGTAGTAGTTAATGATGAATCCAATAGCAGCAACAAGGACCAAACACTGGAAGGTATTCATCATTCAGTAGCTATAGTCTCTTATATGACCTTTAGTATATGATAAAATGAATAACTATTCCAGTCAGTATGTACCTCTTTATTATAGATACTGGCTACTGATGACAATGGTCCATTGTTTGAATATGTACATGTGATAGAAACATGTACATGTCAATCTTATTGTACTGCAACATGTCTTGCCAACTTTAGACTAATTAATATTAGTGCCAGCAGAAGTGAATAGACTCTATAGAAGTGATACTAGTAATTAATACACCTTATATAGTACAATGACAAATTGACACTACAGATACCAAGAGTACACAATATTATGTACTCTTGCAGATACTGAAGCACCATCGGCATACCAGTTACAGAAAACCATTAAGACATCAATCAAATATGTACATGCATACATAGTTATATTTACCTTAATACTAATTACTATTAAAGTTGGCAAGACAGCTAGGCTGCAGTACTACAAGATTGACATGTACATGTTTCTACATATCCAAACAAACATCAATGATCTGTAAATAAAGAGACTATACAATGACTGGCACCACATGAGTGGCAGGTAAACCATAGACCATTGTACCTAGTCATAGAATGACTTGTAGTGTATCACTTAATGTAAAGTGTCAGTTTGTAGTTGAAGTGTATTAATTACTATCATCACTTCTATAGAGTCTATTCACTTCTACTGACACAAATATTAATTAGCCTAAAGTTGGCAAGACATGTTGCAGTACGATAAGATTGACATGTACATGTTTCTATCACATGTACATATTCAAACAATGGACCATTGTCATCAGTAGCCAGTATCTATAATAAAGAGGTACATACTGACTGGAATAGTCATTCATTTTATCATATACTAAAGGTCATATAAGAGACTATACTAGATATCAGCCACTGAATGATGAATACCTTCCAGTGTTTGGTCCTTGTTGCTGCTATTGGATTCATCATTACTACCCACTACTACAGTCTCTGCTGGTGGTGTCGGAATCCTTTGCTACAGTGATGAAAACTGCAAAAATTACAATAAATCTGTCAATGTAATAAGTTCATATTCAATACTGTACTAGTATCTTTATTTGTTATAATTGTGATTATTGTTTAATGTCTTTTAGATTGCTAGTGGTTGCTGTATCCAACCTGATGTTGAGTCATACAAGTATTATAAAACAGGGCCTTGCATTAAATGCAAAGGACTGTGAGGTGATGCAGTATAGGCTGCAGGGAGAAAAGGCAAACTGAGCCTTAACAATTATTAATAATAAAATAGCAACAATATATAACTAACTTTTCACAATATAGTTCATTAAACTTATAATACGTGTGCTTTGATAATGGTATAACAGTGGTTCTACTGAAAGGGTTTGCATTTCTATAGTTTTTTAATGTTGCTGAATGAGCAGGTGGCATGGATAGATAAACCATAGGCTATACATTGAAAGTTGTAGTATTATTGGACAGGATGAATGAGTGTAGTAGCTATGGTTGTATGGTGTGACTAAAGTTGGCAAGACATGTTGCAGTTCGATAAGATTGACATGTACATGTTTCTATCACATGTACATATTCAAACAATGGACCATTGTCATCAGTAGCCAGTATCTATAATAAAGAGGTACATACTGACTGGAATAGTTATTCATTTTATCATATACTAAAGGTCATATAAGAGACTATACTAGATATCAGCTACTGAATGATGAATACCTTCCAGTGTTTGGTCCTTGTTGCTGCTATTGGACTCATCATTACTGCTACTGCTCAATATCCTCCTCCTAATAATGACCAAAACTATTGCTACAGTGATGAAAACTGCAAAGATTTTAATAAATCTGTCTCTGTACATAAGTTTATATTCAATAGTGTACTAGTATCTTCATTTATTATTATTATTATTTGTCTTTATAGATAGGGAGGAATTGCTGTAATGAGCCTGGAATCCATTCATACAGGATTCGCGTAACAGGGCCTTGCACAAAGTGTACCTGACTGTGAGCTGATGCAATGGCTACAGGAAGAAAGGGAAACTGTGCCATAACAATTATTAATAATAATATACATAACTTTAACTTTCACTATAATTATAATAATTAATTAGACTTATATGTCTGGCTAAGTTCATACACTCAGAGAGTCAAAAATAAGGACACCTCTATAATGAGGAGGGGTAGTATCAGTCCCAATACAATAGTAATGTGTATTAATGAACCTCTGAAATAAGGATAGGTTCATAATCAGGACAATATTGTAAATCAGTACATGATAGAGAAAGACTGTCTTTAGTGCAGACTAAATGAACTCTATCATTTGTTCAGTTCTAAAGCACCCAGTCTTTTCATAACAGATTATGTATGGTAAACACTATAAGTGACAAAGGTGTTAATAATGGTATAACAGTGCATGGTTCTACTGAAAGAGTTTGCATCTTTAATGTTTTACAGACACTGATGGAGTGAGTGCATGGATAAATAAACCATAGGCTATACATTGACAATTGTAGTATTATTGGACAGGATGAATGTGTGTAGTAGCTATGGTTGTATGGTGTGACTAAAGTTGGCAAGACATGTTGCAGTATAATAAGATTCACATGTACATGTTTCTAACTTTCTATCACATGTACAAACATCAGTTATCTCAATGAAGAGACTGTACAATAACTGACATCACCCGCTGAGTGACATCAGGTAAACCATACTATTGTACTTCAAGTAGTCATAGAATGACTTGTAGTGCATCACTTAATGTAAAGTGTCAGTTTGCAGTTGAAGTGTATTAATTACTATCATCACTTCTATAGAGTCTATTCACTTCTACTGACACTAATATTAATTACCTGCACGAGTACAGGCTGAGTGAACTGTAGCATAAAGATTAATGTATACATGTTTCTATCACATGTACATATTCAAACAATGGACCATTGTCATCAGTAGCCAGTATCTATAATAAAGAGGTACATACTGACTGGAATAGTTATTCATTTTATCATATACTAAAGGTCATATAAGAGACTATACTAGATATCAGCTACTGAATGATGAATACCTTCCAGTGTTTGGTCCTTGTTGCTGCTATTGGATTCATCATTACTACTGCTACTGCTCAAATGCCACCTCCTTTGGATATATGTTATTATGAAAAGAACTGCAAGAACTCAACCAGCTCACCTCCTCCCTTTGTAAGTAGTGACAATTCTCTATTCCCAACTTATGCCATTACTTCACAAAAATTAGCACAAAATAATAAATATACTGACAATAATTATAGTCCATGCATGGAGTTCTGAATTTTACTTTACTGATTTCTAGGGAACGGCTGGTGGTTGCTGTCATAGAAAAGGAGTGAAGTCTTATCATGTCCAATTTCATACAAAATGTCCCAATTGTTGAGTTATGGACAAAGAAAAGGCTCAATAGAACTATATAACGATAATAATGATTAATAATAATAATAATAATAATAATAATAGTTGTAATAATGTAATACCTGCATGAGGACTGAGATATCTGCTTGAGGTGAAGCTGAGGGCAGATATCAAGGGACTCAAATTATTAATGATATTGATAAAATTTTAGAAATAATTAACAATTCAACAACACTAAGTCATTAACAGTTGGCATGCACTATTCACCTTTTTGATTTGGTCTCTGTAAAAATATTGCCAAATTAGAGAGCATATTGACAACAGTAAATCAGCACTCTGCTCAATAAATTTATTTCTACAATATTTCTATTTTCTAGTGTAAGCCAGGCTATAAAATTGACTTGGCTATAATTATACGCATTTTAGTATCACTGCACTGTATTTCAATCAATCCAGATTATCATTATTATTAATTATACAGAACAATTATAATAAAATGTATAATAAGAGAAAAAGGAGAGAAATTGCAGTAAAAAATCAATATCTTGCACTTTTTATTTAAAATGAATGTGTTTCATTATCATTAGTAATATTCAAATCATTTCCAATAGAAAAAGAGAAAGGAGAGGTTCTATACACTGGTTAATGTGCCAACTGATAAATAGCTGTTAACTTCAGAATGTATTCTAAAAATAGCAACAGTAATAGTAACAATGATAGTGTAATCTATAAATAGTAACAGTACTCTATAAATAGTAACAGTAGTCTATAAATAGTAACAGTAGTCTATAAATAGTAACAGTAGTCTATAAATAGTAACAGTACTCTATCAATAGTAACAGTATCCCTATACCTTGAGTTAATGAGGTATTGTGCTATTCCAACAGATTCAGGAGTACCAGATATCGTTACTAGTCTATCACTGCCATCTCCTTCATTAGACGCTATCTTAATCAGTGCACCTGAATTAACTCTAGCAGATTATAATGACAAATTAATCATCAATAATATTAATGCTACTACAAAATTTTAAAAAATTAAAAATGTCGTAAATCTAATAGTTGTGATGAACAATCATTAAGTGATTACCTTATCTCATGAATCTTTGTACCCTTCCTGCCAATGACACACCCAATCAACTAATAATAATAATAATAATAATAATAATAATAATAATAATAATAATAATAATGTTATGTCTTACATCATTGGGTATTCTCATTTGTTGTACTGTGGTTGGAATCTGTGGAGTAGTATTGAACCCTAAAGAAGGAGGCATGGAGAAGAAGTAAAATGATTCTGATGTAAGGAATCTTTTGTTTGCTAACAGATCTCATTTCAATAAAAATACAATTTAAATAATAATTTACCAGCTGGGTAAGGTTGTTGGAAAGGTATACCGGGCTAAAGGAGAGAGAGAGAGAGAGAGAGAGAGAGAGAGAGAGAGGGAGAGAGGGAGAGAGGGAGAGAGAGGGAGAGAGAGAGAGAGAGAGGGAGGGAGGGAGGGAGGGAGGGAGGGAGGGAGGGAGGGAGAGAGGGAGAGAGGGAGAGAGAGAGAGAGAGAAAGAGAGAGAGAGAGAGAGGGGGGGTGATCAAGATAATCTTTACCAACCAGTAACCTACTCTTTGCTGATATGATTGGTTGGAATGAGGCTTATAAGGAACAGAGGGACCTTTAGGTGGATTCTGTAATAGAAAGAGATCAAAATGGAGGAGGATAAACAATACGTAATAAAAATGGAGCTAGGCGGCATTTTTGACAAATGCCCTCTACTATAGTACAGGGAATTTAGTCACATTTTTTTGCAAGTTTAATTAGGATCAGTTACAAATTGCGGGACCCACCCAGGACATACCTCTAATATTACATCACATATGTAGTCTAAACATCTGCTAATAGACTGGGAGGAACCTATGAATAATTAATTAATTAATTATTAATTAACGAGGGTAACTATTACCTGAAATTGTAACAGCTCGTTCAGTTGAGTTTGGTAATGACTCACCAGAAACCTGAATAATAGCACCTGTGACCTATTAATAATAATAATAATAATATTTTATAAAACAAATATTTTCATTACTTCTCTAATTTCTTTAATTCTTGATCCGCCCTTTCCAATTAAAGAGCCACACTGTGACGTCTGTATAATGAGACGTATTGAGACCACGCCCCCTAAAGATTGATCAGGATCAGTGCCAACTCCTCTAGCATGAGAACCCAGCGACTGATTGTCCTAATATTATCAAAAAAAACTATTAATTTAAAAACTCTCATAGCTGAAGAAATTTTAGTTAGTATCAGCTCAAACTTCAACATATTCATAGCATAAGTGTATCCGTCAGAAAATGTAATAAAAATTAAGAATTCTCTCCTTTTCATTTTTGGTTAAAGTTGGCCAAAGTTACTATAGTATAGGGACTTTCAGCCTAATTTTGATAACTTAACATTGGCAAGAAGCACTATCCTAAAATCTTATGTGAAACACTATTTATTAATAACTATGTTTAATCTTAATATTGTGATGTTATTGCATCAGACAATAAGCTAATAATGAATAAAATTCCTGACTCGACCACGGGTCTATGAATATCATTAAAACAGGATCGTGAATATCGTTAAAATTGTTTGTCAAGCCCAGCATTTATGAGAGTAAAAATTCAATTTTAAGAGAAAGATGTATAAGTACATTTACACTGTCTATGCAACACAAAGATTAAAAGAATGGTATTTCATGTACAATAATATAATCATCATCACTATTGGGTTGTATCACTACACTATTGTGTTGCATAATTCATATTTGTAATTAATTAAATTCTTTTACAGGTTAATTAATAAAGGACAAAGGTTAATTGAAAATACAAATTGCAGGTGGTGAATCTACTAACAGCTGCCTCAATATTATTATTAATAAAAGTATTGGTATCATTACTTCTTCAATTTTCCTGCTGATAGCTGTAAATGCTACACATACTTCAGCTTTAGTACCTGACACTGTGACCAGACTAAGAAAGAGAGAGAGAATACTATACATAATAATGCTTAATACAGTACATGTACATGTATATAATTACATGTAATTGTTTAATCTTTTTCATATTGGTTCAGTATATTTTTGATCAAGAAACTAATGCTATAATATTTTTAGTTTCTTAGCAGCCAAAACATGAGCTTATTTAAGCCAAACTATAGCAGAGTAGCAAATATGGTATATGACTCACTCAGCTGTATTCTCTCCTCCTTCTCTCCCTCCCTCCCTCTCCCTCTCACCGTTCTGAGGAGGTTCCATTGGAAATGTTAATCTTTGCTCCACTTTTCTCTCTAAATGATTTTATTGTCATACCAGCCTACGATCATTAATGATAATAATAATAATAATAATAATTAATAATGTTACTAAAAATAGCCTGAGTGTACATGCATCTTTCAATTATACCTTTCCAATGATACTGCCAACATCCTGTGGAGAAGAAAGAGAGAGAGAGAGGGAGGGGGGAGGAAGAGAGAGAGGGGGGAGGGATATTTAAGAAGAGGGAGGGAGAAAGAGCGAAAGACAAAGGAGAGAAAGAAGTCAGTGAATAAATTATTATACCACAGAAGCCTCAATGCAATAACTCTGCCTCACAGACCCTGCCTAAACAAGTTTGAGTAACTGGTTTGACCTTATCTCCTTTAAAAACAATTACCAGCAGCAGGGCACAGTATAGACTTTATAATAAGCTGATGTGTACTGCTGTACTATAAATTACACCTTTACAATTCGGACACCTTTATAATGAGGACACCTTTATAATGAGGACATTTTGTAATGTCCCAATAGGTACAATAAGCCTGTACAAAAGTACCTCTGAAATGAGGACACCTCTGTATTAAGGACAGGTACAATGTTACATGCACATGTACATGTACTTGTACATATTGTAATGTAAATGTAGCTGTTATGTCTTAAACATGTACATTATTACATAATTCATTTTATTTATAATTAAGCCACAAATAATAAATATAGACATTATGATGGACACATGGCTTCTACCAAAGAGAGAGAGAGAGAGGGGGGGGAGAAAGGGCTCTAAGAAGAGAGAGAGGAGAGAGGGCAAGGTAGAAACAAAAGGAGTAGTAGGTCAAATAAATTCACAGCTGGTGCTACTATCAATCAAAGACCCGCCTCCATTGCACCTCTGGTACACCTCCATATAATAACACAAAACACCTTATGATAATAATTACTGATATCACTCAATGATAGCAAAGAACAAAACAAGAGAGAGAGAGGGGGAGAGAGAGAGAGGGAGAGGGGGGGAGAGAAATAAAACAATCATGACAGTGCATATGCTCAACTTAAACAAGTAGAAAGAGAGAAAGAGTAAGGGAGAGACAGAGAAGGATGTACATGTACATCCTGATTTACAAAGTACATGTACATTGTACTGGAGCCAGCCAAGATAACAGGCTAAATAATGAGTGAAGCTGCCAATGACAATAAAAACATTAAGAGAGAGAGGGGGGGGATAGATATACAATAAAGAGATGTTCATATAAAATATTGATACTAGATGAATGAGAATAGCAACACCTAGCAACTAACAGTAGATAATATGTACCACACTGGCAACTATTGTACTATATATCAGTACTATGAGCCATTAATGAATAGGGATACACCCTATAAAACTAGCTAATAAAGGCCTCAGTATATCATAGTACAGTGAATGTTGTCAGATCACTTGTTAACAGTGTCAGGGTGTCAATAAACACAGAGAGGTATGCTTCAAACATCACTGCACAATGATATACTGGATGGATCTAGCAGACCTTTTGTGGCTTAAATCTCCTGAAATCTCCAATTTTCAGCTTTTGGTCTCTCATAATTAGCCCTAAGTGTCCTTAAGCCTCCTATTATTAGTTAAATTGGTCCTTTAAAATTATTTCTAAATCTACCAATGTAGATGTATATCACACACTGTTGTTCCATCAGGATGTTTATTTTGAAATTAATAAGCTACTTGTTCTACATAAGCTCCAGTTCTAACATAAAAGCACATGCACTTAATCTAAACTGCTTCTTATGCTCCTCCCATTCCATCACTAACAGGTGGTGGTATTTCAATTTAAGCCACGTCCTTATTCAGCATTATCTATTCACCCTCTCTCCCTCCCCCTCCCCCTCTTTTCCTCCCCCTCCCTCCCTCCCCCTCTCTCTCTCTTTCTCTTTTCTAAATCGCCAGCTAATACATATACATTCTAGCGTACAGCCATACATATTTCAAAACCATAAAAATACGACCATCCAAGACGGGACACACACACACACACACTCACCCTCAGATATAACACCTACTAGTACCTACTACAAGTAGGTAGTGCACACACATGGTCTCTAAAGACAAATGTAAACCAAACCTGTAATACTAACATAACAGTTCCCACCACTCAGAAACCACCGATTAATATTATGAATAATATAATATTAGCGTTAAATCCAATCATACATCGTACAATAGAAGAAAATATAGTTTTTCTAAAAAATAGGGCCGCCCTCCTATGAAATAAGAATTCATAGAAATACACGAAGCACTTTAATATATCTTAATGGACACTCTCTATAGCGTACACCTCCATTTAACGGACAGCACCTAGTGTACCAATTACATTCCTTATTGTATAAAATAACCTCCACATAAAGGACACCTCTGTATAACAGAGACACTTTCAAAGTGTCCATTATAGCAAGGCTAGTCTATACATGACAGAGCTAGTAATTGTCAATAATAATGAATAATAATAATAATCAATAAACAATGTATGTGTGGGGTGACAAGGTGAGTGTCAAAGGCATGAATGTCGTTAAAACAAGTAGGAGCCACCAAACGCGTTTTAAAAACCAGTCTGACAGGTTTTAAGTAAACGATATCTTAGCACCTTAAAAGTGATAAAGTGGGATACCGTGGGCTAAAGGGCGAGTATCAATAGTAATAATACAAAGAGCTATTATCGCATTATTAATATTATAAAGAAATATTGGGTTACGATCGCTTACTTTGCTGTTCATGATCATTCGAATACTAACGACCAGTTTATCCATTGAAGTAGCGGCAGCTGCTATTGCTCCTTCTCCCTCCCTCTCTCTCTCTCCTCTCTCCCTCTCAGTTGAAGTGTCAATGTCTGGAGCAGGTTCTCCTCTTAATGGAGGAATGTCTTTACTTGTTGCTGTGACTGACTGCTCACACTAGGGGGGGAAGAAAGAGAGAGGGAGGGAGAGAGAGAGGGAGAGAGACAGAGACAGAGAGAGACAGAAAGAGAGGAAGGGAGAGGGTGAAAGTGAAAAATATCAACTTGTTTCTTCTCAATTATTACTATAAACAAGCGTGCTATTTGAGATAAATAATTGTAAATCTATTTATTGATGTAAAGTACACATAAAGGTACAAGATCTTTTAAAAAGGATGAATGGACTCACTAGTTGTTCTTTTGTCTGACAAAAATGGCACAAACTGATTCTACTATTAACACATCTACCATCACACACACACACACACACACACACACACACACACACACACACCACCACCACCACTCTCTCTCTTTCTCTTTGGTTACATAGCAAAGTTGAAAGTATAAAGGTCACAAAATTGCTTCAATCATTATAGATAGTATATATACATGTGTGTCTGTGTGTGTGTGTTAGCTAAAAAAGCAAAAAGATATAATCATCATCAATAACACTGACATCAACCATACAGTCACTCTTCAAAAAAATAGTACACAAGACACTCAAAGTGAATCCTCTACATTGTAACATGTTGTAAAAGAACATTACTCTCTCTCTCTCTCTTTCCTTACCTCCCCACTGGTCTGTACTTTCAAAGATGCAGTGGAAGTGCTACTGGATTTAGTCTCTTCTGCTTTCTCACTGCACGTGTCGTCCACCTCAGACCCACGACTTGTAGACGCCATACTATATATAATAGCCACAGGAGACAGAGAAGGAAAAGGAAGCTACTCTTCTTCTTCTTATTCTCCTCGTGAAGTAGAAAATATGAAGCTTTAGAGCAGCTTCAAAGAAGCTTAAATCGCCTTTACAAAGTGGAATAAAGATAGTAGGACTTAGGAAAGCTTAAGGAAGTTCTCTCTCCGCCGTCTGTAGCTGCTATTTGCTAAACTAGTATCACCACAATAATGTGGTCCTTAGTATTAGTAGTATAGACGTACATTACATGTATTATTGTGTATAATCATCTGGCTTTGTATTACATGTAAACAATCGCCTTGTGTGTAGGTGTGGCTGGGGGCCTGCAGGATGTGTGGGCGGAGCCGCCCGTGTGTGGGCGTGGTTATTAACCACGTGGGCGTTTAACAAAATGGCGGCTGCCTCAATGATAAGAAGTGTTTTTAAAAAAGAGCTTTTCTCTGGTAAAGTGGCTATTGTGACTGGAGGGGCCACGGGTCTAGGTCGTGCTATTACAGAGGAACTGAGCTCTCTTGGCTGTAAGGTTGTGATTGCCTCGAGAAGATTGGAAAATCTTGAAAAAGCTGCTCAAGAAATCAATGAAGCCATCCCTATTTCTCTACGTCCACGTGTCTTTCCATATCAATGTAATATAAGGAATGAGGAACAGGTGAGAACTTATTGTAAATCGATTCTTTACATCAAATTTTATTATACTTATTATTATTATTATTATTATTATTATTATTATTATTATTAATAGGTTAAGTCTCTAATGAAGTACACTATAGATACTCATGGTGCATTAGATTATCTGGTTAATAATGGCGGGGGCCAGTTTGCATCTCCAGCTGCTC